AACCTCGGACTTCAAAGAATATCGTTTACTGCTATCGCTTCTTTCGGTTAAGGCTTCCCGAAAAAACTTTAACGGGTGTTCATAGCCTCCCTTAGGTTAAGGTGTTGCGATTTAACGACAACAAATGTGGATTTTGATGCATGGTGTAGATTTCAGGCGCATGTTCAAACTCGATACCACTGCGATAAAACGTGTCCTTTATTTCACAGTACTTTGTGAAACTGCGATAAAATGACTCCCAGCAACCTCCATTACTTAGATATAGGACCTCAAGCTGACTTAAATATCTCGATGCTAGTTGGTTGCGGGACCATAATTAGAACGTCAAGTGATATCTTGCTGTTATCAGCATCGGAGACCGGCATTTGTCGGCGAAGCCGGTAAGCCAATCACAAAAAACAATATCCATCGATGATCCCTGGACAATCTTATTTCCCAGTGCGTCCATTCCAATTACCAAAAGCGCAAATCAGCTCATAGTAAAAAGAATTATCACATGCTTTCTAACCCTATACTTCTAAAAATCTTTAGCGGCCAGCCTGTACAATCGCGGAATGTTTCTGCATCCTCAAATGAAACACTGTTTGGTGGCCTCAGTCCGTTCACTAACTACACTGTCCTACTTAGCACTCGTGACATTCTCGGTCCTGGTAAAGGGTCTCAGGAGTACAACATCTGCACTGATCCTGGGCGACCAACAACCAGACCTGAAGTATCCCTCATCAATGTGACAAACACAACTGCAACCTTACACCTCGTTGCTCCCAATCTCACTCAGGCTGTTAGTGGAGATTTCTGTCTCGAAGCTTACCTCTCTGCCGAAGGTGTGTTCGGACCGTTTCATGGATTTAGGATCCGCTATCAAGGCAAACAGAAAGAACATGAAGTCTTTCCTACCAACTCCGACCGTCCACTTCGACATAATGAGGTAAGACGTCTTCTCTACTAAATGCGAGTAAAATCCATGTGTATGCCGTTTTATTTTACGATTTCTCAGGTGTGGTTTTAGTGCTTTTGCTGTTCCAATTATCTGATTTATAAATACTTATCACAACACCTGTCTGATCATTAATTTTATTTGTTTGGGTAAGCTTCCCTGCCCGTTCCGATTGTAGTAGCCTTTTAATTTGCTATGCTTGCATCGATATTTTTAACTCCTTTTACTCAAATGAGGGAGTAAATGCGAGACCATTAGATTTGCGCCGACAGCTTTTACAATACCTTTTGTGGGCCTGTATTTATATGGTTATTGTTGCGCCCCCATTAAAAACCCCCTCTTCTGAGGACCACTGTTAAGGCATATCAAGTTTCGCCTCTTCGTCATTGCCAAGGTGTTCTGCGTATGATTGCTTCTAGGCTATTTTAAGAAGTTATTTCAATCGTGTCTCAATCTAGTATCTATGTAAATTTACTTGACCGCACTCCCAGCATACAGATGCTCGCCCAAGAGACAGGCGCATGTTTTGCTGATTTCCTCTAGCTCCAAGGTGCCGCTGCGAGCAATTCCGCGGCTACAGTAAAATGGCATATATTTTATCTATAACCACGATTACCGTGAATTGATTGGATTAAAACGTAGTTGTATAGTGTGCAACCGAACTTCCTAGGAATTCTTTGTTAGAAAACTTGTGAAACACTAAAAATGACAGGTTTAGGGAAATACCGAAGCTAATGACTCTGGCTTCACATCAAACAGACTGGGTGAGTTTCCAGCCACAGTTATAAGTACAGAATGAAAGTGCCTATTTATTGCTAAATTCCGTTGTCACTGTCATCCCAGGAGTCACTTTTAAATCTCCAGATCGCTTGGGCTGGGTAACAGGCTGAAGAACGTGAGACCATATGATCGTTTTATGCTGTCGAAGAAATCTCGGTCGAAATGATCCGGAGTTTACCAGTAGCCAAATTACAAATGTTTCTCCCTAAAATTGTGAGGTGTTCCTATGAGATTTCTTTTAGACCTCATTGTCTGGTAGAAGATGAAATGCGTTTGAGGTTGTGAATAGTTCTTTAGATAAGTTGTTTGCTGCTCTAAGAATGAAGGTCAAGGCAGCTTGTGCTTAATGTTCACTCTTGCAAACTGTCTGGCTGATGTTCAAAGCTAGGGTCTGAGATATCCCTGGCGGCCATTGCACGCTTAAGGAAATCCTACAGGGGATTGCTAACTTTTACAACCCTTTCTGCTGACTGAGTAGGCAACACTGCGGACTCTAATGGATGGTACTCAGTTGCGAAACCTATGCCAATCAAGTTTTGGCGTGCCAAGTTGGGGATTTAGGGCCAAGCCAGCCACTGGATAATTCTCATCTACAGTGATAAACAATGCGGCAAGGAGGACAGAATGGTTTATAGAAAGTAATATCGGATTAGAGTAAAGTGTCTGCAGGCACATCCGTCGTGTAGGTTTGGCGAAGATCCCTAGTGGATCGTTTCGCTAAATCCATCAGAGTCAAATTGAGTGAAGTAACTGTTCGAGCGTTGTGAAATTCCCCCAAAGTTCCTTTAGCATAAGTAGCGTCCACCCCACGTCCCTGAAAGTGCTTCCCCTCGTTATTCTAACTCCCTTTTCTCAAGAGTTAGAGTTAGGTCTATAAATTAGTTTTTACCCATTGAGAATTAATGGTTTTTAACCCGAAACCACCTTGGGTGGGGCACTAGCTCGGGTTGGGTATGACCGGCTGATAACGGCTACTAAACTAAAATGACCATCCCAGTCTCCATTGTTTTTGCCGGCCAATAATGAATAATGAATTTGTTACCAGTCGCTCTGTTAAGGCCAAATATAACAGCGCACGGCCTAGAAATAAGGCGAACATAATGAAAAAATGGTGACAAGTACAAAATATAAGTATTGTATTAATTTTCACCCATAGAACCCACGGGTGAGTCTGTGTAGTTATTAAGCGCGAAGTCCAACTCCTTTTGCATAATGTTCCATTTCCTTAAGCCAATTTCTTTAGTAGGAGTCAAGTCACTGCGATTGACGAACCACTAGCGCTTGAGAGAGGGATTTAGTCTGGATCAAGCGCTCTTGTCCTTGTTCTACCCTACCAAATGCGCTCTTAGGTTAACGTAACACTATGCGTCTTAGTTTAGAATGCTGCCAACTGACCAGATAGCTTGGCCTTAGTCAAGTTGCAGCGCGGCATTTTAATGCGACCTTTATGACAGTCTTAATTACGTGGGATCCGAAGCCCCACCCCCTAAATGGAGCCTGATTTGTAAGATCTGGGATCAGATCATGTGTGGCACGCACAGATAAAATGTTTGGCTCTGTCAGCCATTGCACCCACTTCCATTTCTGGTCTTCTTGTTTTCGTTTTGCCATCGGAAAGCGATGGCTTAAAACGCCTATAACTTGAACCTTTGCATACATTCGCAAACAGAGGGGATAGAGTACTGT